TCTTTGACTAACTCTTTCCCTCACTAACTCTTTCTTTGACTAACTCTTTCCCTCACTAACTCTTTCTTTGACTAACTCTTTCCCTGACTAACTGTTTCCCTCACTAACTCTTTCCCTCACTAACTCTTTCTTTGACTAACTCTTTCCCTGACTAACTGTTTCCCTCACTAACTCTTTCTTTGACTAACTCTTCTTTGACTAACTCTTTCTTTGACTAACTCTTTCCCTCACTAACTCTTTCTTTGACTAACTCTTTCCCTGACTAACTGTTTCCCTCACTAACTCTTTCTTTGACTAACTCTTCTTTACTAACTCTTTCTTTGACTAACTCTTTCCCTGACTAACTGTTTCCCTCACTAACTCTTTCTTTGACTAACTCTTCTTTGACTAACTCTTTCTTTGACTAACTCTTTCCCTCACTAACTCTTTCTTTGACTAACTCTTTCCCTCACTAACTATTTCTTTGACTAACTCTTTCCCTCACTAACTCTTTTTTTGACTAACTCTTTCCCTGACTAACTGTTTCTTTGCTAACTCTTTCTTTGACTAACTCTTTCCCTCACTAACTAACTCTTTCTTTGACTAACTCTTTCCCTCACTACTCTTTCTTTGACTAACTCTTTCCCTCACTAACTCTTTCTTTGACTAACTCTTTCCCTACTCTTTCTTTGACTAACTCTTTCTTTGACTAACTCTTTCCCTGACGAACCTTGCTAACTCTTTCTTTGACTAACTCTTTCCCTGACTAACTCTTTCCTGACTAACTCTTTCCCTGCTAACTCTTTCTTTGACTAACTCTTTCCCTCACTAACTCTTTCTTTGACTAACTCTTTCCCTGACTAACTGTTTCTTTGACTAACTCTTTCTTTGACTAACTCTTTCCCTGACTAACTGTTTCTTTGACTAACTCTTTCTTTGACTAACTCTTTCCCTCACTAACTCTTTCTTTGACTAACTCTTTCCCTGACTAACTCTTTCTTTGACTAACTCTTTCTTTGACTAACCCTTTCCCTCACTAACTCTTTCTTTGACTAACTCTTTCCCTGACATTCTAAAAGTCCGTAACACGGAAGTTTCTCCCCCTAAACTTCCTTTGATTATATTATAGGATTTATAGGATATTATTGGACATTGATATGCAGTTAGTATATCCTCATTTATAGGAATTTATAGGATTCTATATAGGCTTATAGGTAATAAATGAGGACGTTTATGTGATGGTAAAACTCTTTACTTGTGGAAATTATATACCAATCAAGGGTTTATCGAGGATTTTTGGGTAACTATAACCATGACCTCCTAAAAGGACCTGCACAAAATAGAGGTTTCATAAGCCCCTAGGAAGAGGTGATTCCAGGTACAATTTCCAAAAGGCTTCGTTCATTGGCTTCATCTTCCCAAGTGGATCATCACCAGTGAATAGGCACCAACCACCTTGGTTCCTTTCCCTCTCAATGTTTTCTAATAATGACCAATCTAGGTTGGATGCAAAAATTCAACCAATTTTTCCCATACAGCTCGGTTTTTTTTGGCCACTTCCCCGGTTTCTCAGTCGCTATGGGCCTCAACGCTTGGTAAAACAGGCCCAGGCAAGCTTGAGCCGGCGGCAAAAGCACTTGGTGCTGCAACATTCGGCTCTGAATAGTAGGGTAGGGTGCCACAACATCTTATGGTTGAGTAACCTGGTGACATCCCGGCCGGAAAGATTGGGATACTGAAGAAATTCTGCACATTTCTGCACCATCTTAGACTGAGATATTCCCATAGATATCTTATGGTTGATCATCATTTTCCCTTTCGAAACTGGGGTATCCACTGGTCCCGCGCCAACTTTCCCCGGCACACGGCACTGGGTCGCGGTCCAAACCCCCAACCGCGCGACGATGAAAGCATGGTGACACACAGATCGCAGTGAAAGTGGAGATCGAAGCATCCAGGGGCAATTCGGGTTGTGTTTCCACCCTCAACTATGGATTTAGCTGATTTAAGCAGCCGAAAAGCGGATTGAACCAGCCCAAATGGGATTGAAACCAAGAAACATGTGGATTGAACTATCAAGAATGGGCACGAATGAACCAACCAGTGGGAATTTGGGAAATCTTTGATTTGTATGACCTTTGATTCTGAAATTGGCCAAACCCCCTGTACATCAAAGTAAAACGCATGTGGAACGTCTCTTCACTTTCTCTTCACCGATTGAAGTGCATCATCTCATGTCACCACTGCAGGGTAGCTGCCTCAGTGGATCCCAGGAATGGCACAGAATTCCCACTCAACCAGTTGGTCTGTTTGAGGGTCATGACCTACCAACAGATCTGTAGATCCTCTCCTGAGCTTTTCATTTCAATCGAAATCTCCATATTTCTTGTGGATTTAACCTTCATTTTTCCTCGTTACTGTAGGTCTACCTGTAGGTCTACCTATCCTCCGGTACATGGCAAGCTGGGAAATCCCCAAAGCTGGCGGGAAAGTCATCGAACCGCTGCCCAGTTGCCGCTGGAGGCTGGGGTGGCTGGCTCCTGAAACCGCTGCTGATTTGAGGCCAAACGTGGTGAAACCTTGGAGATTTGTGAAGTCGGCTTTTCGGCAGTTTTTACTGCACCCTCTGGTAATTTAACAGCTGCTATTGAACATGGCCATTTTATAGTGAGTTTTCCCATAAACAATGGTGATTTTCCATAGTTTTTTGTATGTTTACCAGAGGGTCACCCATTTTTCTGGAGGAAAAACCGGAAAAAACCCGATGGATTGGCAAATGAGTCCGAAATGGCTGAACTTTTTAGTTGCTCTTTTTGTGCTCCACATCTGTCCTTGATGAGGTCTTTGGGTTGCTGCTTAGCTGTTGGATCTGAATGATGCGGGTGAAGACCCAATATGACCCAATGTTGATTCACAACAAGCTGGAACAGTAGGAATTCCCATGATTAATATTTGAATTACCAATATGACCTTTTATTCCTTCTATTCCCAATGTTGAATCTAGTCCATTATTTGATATTATGTGTATCTTTTTCCTTCTCTGGTTGCCATCTTTCGGTCAAGCCGCTATCCACTTTGGTGTCCGATCAGTGTCTGCTTTTGAGGAGATACCCCATCGGTTGGCTGGTTATGTCTACTATGCCGATTGATTAACTTAAGGAAACAACCGGAGGAAACTACGGTTTCTATCCAAATGTAGGGGTTTATTGTAGATTTTCCCTTCATGACATTCTGGGTCTGTTGTCGATTGTTGTGTCCATATGCATCTTATGGTTGTCCATTTTGATGAGTCAAATCTCCCATAAGCTGTTCCTATTCCAAATTTCTCCAATGATCTTCCCATTCTTCATGGGTTTTTCCGCATCGATTCACACATCAGGTCCAACATTTTCCAACATTTTCTACCCAGTAACATCCTGTAACACTGCAACATTTCTCCAACATTTTCTGCATGTTTAGTCTGTTTAGTGGTCAAACTCCCAAGGTTTGGTAGCAGCTCCTCCAAGAGGAGCCTCACGGCTGAGATCGAACCTCGGTGCAATGGGTGGGTGGGACAGTTTCAGCCAGGAATTGGTGTGAAAAAATGGAGGAAATGATGATTTACTTCGCTAAACATTGCATGTTTTGTTGATTCTTGTTTGAACTGTCATCATATTTCATCCACTATATAATTGTTGGTATACTGCTCACATGGTGGTGATGTAATGATGAGAACGGTGATGCACTGCACTCATAATAGACATAATGGTGATGTATAATGTTGGATATAAAATAATGCAAAGGAGGATTGACATTTCATGGTATATGATGCTGTTTTTGGATGTTTTTGGTGCACAGTGATGATACAACCGATACAACGATCGACCTAATCGACCTATCCGATGGGATCGACAACCAAACACCATTGGTTTTTCCCAGTAAAGAATTACTAAAAAATCACTTGAGTGATACCTGGGACTGCAACTCAGAAATGGCTGGAAGTCTTCCTCAGACCTCGGTTCCAAGGGATGGTGAAAGATCGATACAGGTTGCATCCATGGTGATGCTGTGGGTCAGTGACCAACTCAAAGATTCCAGACACGGTGTCACCTCCAAAAATCCTTGCAGTGCAGTGCGCAAAAATTGGCCTTCTATTGGTTGGTCAATGGGGGATTTTGGGAATGGTGATGGATGACACTCCCGAAACCGGCTAGAGAATCCCCCCCAAAATGTAAGACTTGCCCTCCTGTAAAGCAACATAGATGTGGTAAAGCTACGCCTTGTAGATCATTTTCCGAAACCATGGAATTTTTCCACATCTTTTTGTATGTTTACCCTAGGGTAGAACCGTTATAACCAGCCGTCCGGAACGCAATGGATTGGTTCCCAACGCATTCTCAAAGACCATGTCCACAATGGATGGCAGCAGCACTTGGGTCCTGCGCTTTGGGAAACGGAGACGCTGAGGTCAAAGCTTCGTCCACAAAATCCTCAAGTGGAATTCTAGAAAGGATTTCTGATTCTCTTGAGAAAGGCAAACAAAGATAGAAATGAAAATATGGAAATCCCCTCATTGCAAACGGTTCTACAATTTCAAATAGCATTTTCCGTTGCCATGCGAAATTATTGGAGAGATCTGCAATTTCTCTACTGTTTGCCATAGGAAAAAATCCACTGTTGATGATGGCCACAAATGGGTATCGCACGAAATCCACTGTATTAGAATTCCATGCCCAACACTTCTTCTCCCACAAATACCAATAACCCCACCTGAACAAACCACTATAATCATCATCATTCTCAATTATGTTCAATGCATGGGGTACCCTCTGGTAATTTAACAGTTTGCTATCGAAATTGGCCATGGAAATCGTTGATTTACCTCGAAAAAATGGTGATTTTCCATAGCAAATCCCCTTCCCATTCCCCAGGCCATCCCCATCGGCCCATCGGCCCATCGGCCATCCCCGCCTGCCGAACTGCGCCTCACGTGGTACCCGACCTGTCACCAGCGTGAGACGGATGGGGATGAACCACCGACATAGCTGTGATGTATGAGGGTTCATCCCCCCAAAAGATGGCATATGCTGGTTGGTGGGTGGTAGAGCCCTACCCCTCTGAAAAATGATGGAGTGAGTAACAGTTGGGATGATGACATTCCCAATAATATGTTTTTTTTTTTCCCAAACCACCAACCAGTATGGGTAAGTGGAATGGGAAGGCCCTGGTATCAAAGAAACATGGTGTGGAACACGTGATCACACTAAGTGGATGGTTAACAGGCATCCTCCATTCTCCAAGTTGGAGATCCTAAATCTTTCCAGGCTGGTCGATTCTGGGAATCCTGAAAAATGGATTGGGGTTCCAGCCCTCCAATCTTTATCAATCTTTGAGCCACGAATCACCAAGGGTTTGGCACCTTCTATGGTCCATTTCTCTGTTTCCAGGCCATCTTTCAATGGAGAGAGTTGCCACGCAAGGCTCGCTAGGAGGAAGAGGGACCTGGGAGGTGCTTGGATCGTTGGAAGCTTTTGGGCCAAAAAAATGGGCCTCAGTATGGAACCATATGGAACCCCTCTGCATAGTTTCTCTCAACGAATCTCGGTGGTCTGGTTTCTGCGGCCCCCGAGCCAGGTTGTCAGTCACAACCACAGTTTGGATCACAAACGCTTACTCGCCACATAACAATTTTCTCCGAAACTTGGTGCTCCTAATTCCTACTCAGCAATCTCAGACTCAATCTTTCAACTACAGCACACGGTTTGTATTTGAATCTCCCATCTAGATTCATGAATTCATTCAATCATCAAACATCCTTGAGGTTCTCAACCCACTTTTCTAGCAATATCCAGGGATATATCCAGGGATATATGCCATGTAAATCCCATATTTCACTGGTTCCCAAGCCTTCCCCGGTGCCATCCGGTTGTAACCGGTTGTAACCACGCCACGTGTCCACGGCCTGCAGCCGGTGCTTCCTGGACTCTTCGAGATCTTCGTTGCGCCAGGGGTTGCCGTACATCAAGAGACACAGCAACTCGTGGTGGCATAGCCTGGAAGCACCAAGAGATTATTAGTGTATATATATATTATAGATATAATATGTATATACATTTGTAATGGGATATTTTGGATGTATAACTAACCTAACTTGATATGGTAGTTGAGAGCTTTTTGTTTGACCTAGGTAACTATAGTGAGTTAAAATTGTTGTAGTTGAGATTGTTGGGTTTTAGTTCAGTTATACTGTATTACAATTATGACACTTGCTATTAGTGGGTTTTGATGAGTTCAACGTACATTTTCCGCTGTGACAACCTTGTGGGTATACATTGTAAGACATGATAGAATGTGGTGTATACATCCTTGGATGTTTTGCGATAGAATGGCATCAATCTAAACCAGTGACATATTTCTTTATGTATCACCGTTCAAATTTGATTTACCCTCTGGTAAAATAACAGGAAGATATGGAAAAGGCACCACCATTTGTAGATCATTTTCCCAGGGAAGATCCATGGGTATTTCCCACATCTTTTTGTATGTTTACACTATTGTTTTTGGTATGCGACAGTGAAATGGGTTTCTCGATTCGTCCAAACGCGACCCGGAAACCAGATATTTGGATATATTTGGGTCATCTTGAGATGTAGATTTCACCACCCAAATACACCTCATTAAATCCCCATGACATCCCCAGAACAACTCGTCATTTTGTCACCCTCGGCTTCGCCCAGCAACAGGACTAAGCTTTGGAGCACGGTATCCATGCCCTCTTCCGCTCGCAGCTGCAAGACGAAGTCCAAACTGCCAGCGCAAGGGGGGATAGAACCAGCAAGTCTATAGGGATATCATGGAATATCATGGAATATCATGAGAATCGTTGGTTTTATACCTATAGATTAATGTATATTGTATATCATATCTATAGATACATCATGGAGATATTCTATAATGGAATATCATTCATGGGAGATAGTGGAACATTATGGCAGTACAGGTCTCATTTCCCCATGAAATGGCCGATGCCTGGCAGTAGCGCAGCAGCGGCTGAAGAGCTTCAAGGCTGCGACCTCGGTCAATTTACCCAGGAACACGTCTATCGTAAATCATATCCTTTTTATCTGTATATATATATATACACATATATGTATTGGTGTGTGTGTGTGTGTGCATGTGCATATGTATACACCTATATGTGTATGTGTATATGTACATACATATACAGGCAAAAATCTGTGTAGATATGTATATATGATATATGATATATGTCTATCTACATGGTCACACGCAGATATTTGCCCTTGGGATATTTGTTGGTTTAGGCATTTCTCCATGTTCAAATTTTGCAACCCTTACCGCACTTTGTGCTTTGTGTGAAAATGAAAGTAACGTTTCGCTGTGGTTTTGGCAGCCACATGTTCGTTTTGTATTGGTATTTGCAGGTTTTTATGTTCTTTTCTCTCCCCGCGTCCATTTCGCTCAAACCTAGTTTTTACATTTGCTCGCCCGGGTCGTTCCAAGTCACATGATCTTTCCAATATCTTTCCCAACTCTTTGGTCAAGTTGGCATGGTTAATTGCTTCGCCACACGAAGCCCCAAACATATGACATTAGCTTTTCAGCAATGCCACCTCCAGGTCTGTCTTTGACGCCACCAAGGGTCGACACATTGTGTGCCAGCGACCACTACCCCAGGTTTCTTCCTGGATCTCACCTTCTTCGCGAACTCATTTTTGTTATGTGAGACATGTTTTTTTAAACTTGTGGTGAGTGCTGGGAATGCCACTTTGGCCAGCTTTTTGCACTATCAGAGTGAAGCTGAGTCTTGCAACCGTTGCTCAAATGCGTATGCAGGTTGGTAGCGCTCAAATCTGCAAACTTTCTATTGCAGGACTGCCAGGAGGATGAAGAACAACAAAAGCGTAGCAGCAAGAGCGTCTTAGAAGTTCCAAGAACGTGCTGAAAGCGTAGCATCAAGAAGGACATGTTGAAAGGGTAGCATCAAGCCCGCACACGTCAAGAACGTTATTACCCTCCCAACCACCCCCAACCCATCCCCAACCCCCCCACCCCCGAACACATGATGTAGTGGAATTTTTACCGAAATGTACCAAAACGCCCTGGGCGTTTATCAACGTGCCTCCATCTACATTTGTATATATGAATATATGTATAGATACTAGCACCTTTATGGATTACAGGAATGTCGTTTTCATCTAATCAAAATCCACCACTATTCTTTGAAGAAAATTCCCCTCTTCACTGTGGCTCTTCTATGACTTCTTGAGAATATGACCTTTCTTGGTTAAGAGCTGGTAGCATCCACCCCATTACACACCATGAAATCGGTATCCATTAAGTGATATACACCAACACCAGATGTAGTATATACATGAATGTATGTATATATATATTTACACACACACACAAACATATATGATATATGTATATAATTCCATCATATTAAACACCCCTCCGAAACCATTGTTTAGTAGGGGATTTACACATGCTTGGGAGCATTTTGGAGCTGATAATGTAAGGTGTGCATACATAGACACACATTAGATATCCACTTTCTGAAGGATATATACATAATTTTTTCATCACCAGTGAATGACCAGCCACCAACCGCCCCCGCCAGTTTTGCTCTGGGCTCTGCGGCTCGACACTTTTGCTTCTCCAAGGTATCGCGTTCGTCTGCGACAGCCAGGCCATCAGGGGCCAATTGTAGGACTAATTTCAGCGGACAATCTTGATTGATCAATTGATCAATTGGGATTACACATTTTAGGACTATTAATAAATTTGAGACTATAAATGGATCACCATCGACATTTGCTACTGATCTTATTGAATGGATCGTTCTTGGTACCAAGCCACACATTAGGAGGTAATCCAATCAACTTGGCCACATGATTTTGTTCATCGAAGCTGCCGAAGCTGTGGGCGATTCAAGCCAACAAAACCTCCACTTAAACTCAATCATTCTGATCCAACAGCCAAATTCGAATATGGACCCCAATCTGTTTTTGTTTTGATACCAAAAACAACTCGTTTTTTGTGGGTTCATTGGTACCCCCAATTTTGACCGCCGCAAGATGACCCCTTGGCGCCTTCAGCCACCGAGGGAAGAACCTCGCTGGACTATAATCCCCCATTATAATGGGCCATTATAATTGACCCATTATGGGATTATAATGATGGATAATTATAACTCTTATCCCTGATGATAAGTAGGGTCAACTATAATGAGGGATTTATTATAATTAATGACCCATTATAATCCCATTATAATCCCCATTTGATCCTCATTGACATCCTCATCTTTCAGACGACTTGATCGCACTGTGAAGCTAGGTTAAATCAGGGATGCTGAAACCCACCAGGTGCCCGGACTAAGAGATCTGCGGCGGCCAAGAGGACGTTCTCCTGTTGTTGGCCGAGAAGAAACCATGGTGAAAAACACGGAGATATGATCATTCGCTGCACAAGGCTATGTCCCAAGGCCCAGAACCTCAAGTCACCTCATCTTATTTGAGTGGATCTTAGGGGTTTCCCCCACTAAACAACCGGTCAAAATCCACATTTTTCGCCGGGAAAACCGGTGAAAACGCTGCTGTTCCTGGGATTCCGCTTGGTGTGCCATGGCAAAAAGCTCTGGACCTCGGGTCTTGGCGCCCAGGATCATAACATAAAATCCAAAATGGTCACTAGGGGTTAACTGTCTCAGACTATCTCACCATTTTTTTTCCAATTTTATGTGGCTGATACATGGTCAATTGGGATAAGAGAGATGTAAGCCTGTTGACAACTGCTGAATGATGATTGTTTTTGTTAAGGCAAATTTACATGCGGTTCATCTACCATGGATGATCCAGTGTACGCCTCTGTTCTTCCACATTGCACTAGCACTGAGCTGCTGTGGTGATTCCAACGATTCCAACGATTTCCAGGGTCTTCAGGGTTTCCCGCCACTTGGTTGCGAGTTGCATACCCTTTAGACCCATGAAGAGTTCATTCGGCCAAACCCTGAAGCCCCTCCAAATTTTCAAGTACATCCCCAGCAATATTGGAGGAACCATTCTTCTCATTGTGGTGATTTCCTTTGGGAATCGTCCAGCGAGCCCTTCCCCGCGGACAGGGACTTGCCATCAAGGCATCCAACAAGCGCAGGCATGGCAGGTGTAAGCTGTCCTTGATGTCAAGATGGGCGATCTGGATGTGTCCAAAAACATGCGGCTCTGAAACCGACCAATATGTATACATATGTATATATATATATACGGTACATATATGTATACATGATATATTATATATGTAAATTGGATGTACTGTAATGGGAGATAATGCGATATAATGGGATATACAATCACCAACAATATCACATCAATTGTCCAAACATGGAGGCATTTACATCCAAAATATGGCAAACTTCATGGGGAAAATCATGATTCACCATGGGATGGAACGGAATACCCTGTTTTCAGACAACCCCCCTGGGAATTTACCAGATTGGCATATGGCGGCGATTCTTGATGTGAGACTATGCGCTTCTTGAGATATCAAAACATGCAGCCATTGACGAGAAATCAACCAATTCGACAACCATTTTTTCCAATCTGGACCTGGGCTTTTTGTGTATCCCTAGCATTTGAAGCTGATCTCCCCATGGGTCATAAATCTGTAGCCATAAATGGGAGATAAGCTAATAATTGGTAGCTTTTTACCATTGATACAGTAAACTACGATTCTTCGTCAAAACTCCGCAAGGCGCAGCTCACCAAGGTGCCGGAGTGGGTTCTTCCAAGAGCCTTGGCACGACAGAATTCCTTGGGGGGATGCCAGAGATGCCAGGGATGCCAGGAACATTTGCCACACCTCCCTATTCTTGGCGAAGTCTGCGTTGGACACATCGAAGCGACATGACATGCAATACATCAATACTAGCCATCACCTCTTTCAAATGGCTCAAAACTTGACAATTTAGACGTCAACAGCTCCTGACCAACCTCAACTGCAAGAACATTCATCACTCCTTTGGGGTTCCAATCTTCCTACCTCGTTGAGCTTGTACAGTCCAAAAAACTTTGGACCCTCATCAGAGAAATCACAAAACCCAGGTACCTTGCCCGCAACACTATCCCGCCAGCTAAAAGAGACGGGGCTAGTCTGAAAAGAGGCTACCCCCAATTCGAATCGATCATCATTTTCTCTGTCCAAATATCAAATAATCTAAATTTAAATATCATCTAAATATCATCATTTTCTCTATCCAAATATCATCTAACCGTGGCTGTATCTGCTATTCTTCACACCAAGGTACACAGATCTCCAGCCGCGCCCTGCGGCCACCAGAGACTTCAGGGCCACCAGTTCTGGAACCTTCAGCTTGGAGGCTGCCTGGGAGCGTGTCTCCACGTGGCAAGTCATGGCTTATGGGTTGAGGTCGCGGTTGAAAAATAGAGGATTCACAGGGGAAAAACCCCACCAATCTGCGGGTTTTGGGTGGTTATTCTGCTTGTATCTGGTTGTAATTTCATGGAATTCATCATTATTCTTGCTCCACCTCTGGTGTCACTTGGATAACAGGCCCTTCCCAAACCGAGACCGCGCCTCGGAAAAGGCCAATAAGAACGGCAAGATCTCTCCGTTGTCAGCCTGCGACCTGGAAGCTGACTCCCACTGGCGCCAGGGGCCTGGAAACAAAACTGACTGATTCCCATTTCCGTAATGTATACTTACAATAGTATATATATATGTATATGTATATAACTGTATATATGCATATACTATACATATCTTTTGTGAGTCACCAACCCATCGATAGTGCTGAAGCTCCCATTTTTGTGGCCGCTCCCATGCAGCCCGGAGACTCCATGGCTTGCTGAAGAATGTCACCCAAGACGTCAAAGAGGCCCTGGTTTTCTGCTGGAAAACCGGCTGGTTTCACCGAAAACATGCCATGTGAAATGGGAAAAAAATGGAAGAAATGCTTGGTGGCACGGTGGCATCAACACCCCGAAACATTGGTGGCGCAGATATGATGAGGATATCGCAGATATGATGAGGATGTAACCATCAAAACACGTGAAGACTTGCCAACAAGAATCCAGTGGTTGGCGGCTATTCGTGACCCAGCTCACCAAACAAAGCGGTAGAGTACAAAAGTGGCTTCAAATTTCAGCAAGACGATATTCAGAAGTGTTCGCTTGGTGACACCAGGATTTCCCATCAAATTTTCGTGATTTAGCTATGAACAACGGGGATCTAAAAATGAAAGGTGGGATGCTAAACCGCCCGAAAAATGATCTAAACATCCAAAGAGAGAACAGAACTAAACAAAATCACTCAAACACACAAAAAAAAATTGCTCACCCCATTTCTGCATGACTTGAGCCTCGGTCGCTGGAGCTGCTGCAGCAATCTCTCCTTGGCGATGGGAAGATCAAGGGTCCTTGGAGATTTTGAAACATATGGTGATGTGTCATTTTAATGATGTTTTGATCAAGAAACCATAGTTCAGTAATGTTCATGATCAATTTTGATCAGGTTCATTACTTTGATTTCTATACACACATATGTATATATATATGATCATAGAACCATGAGTCAGGGATGGGAAGGATTTGTACAACTGATTTAACCATCAAACATCTGCAGATTTCGCCACGAACAGTTGGGATTCCGCCATCTGGGATAAAGACCCCATTATCTGTGATACAGTGATACACAACCCTGGATGGGGGAACGGAATGTATGTTATTTCTTGGCACCAAATAAATAGATAGCTTTTGGGAATTAACCCTTGGAGTTTCACTTTTTGCCCAATCTGGCGAAAGGCTGAATATGCCAGAAACACTGAAGTCTGGAAAGACATCATGAAACTGTTTCAACTATATTAGACTCATCAAGTTATTGATAACAAATCCAACGGATTTATTTCGTGGTCAGCAGGCCGGGGTATTTTCTGCGTCAGTCGCTTTTTCTCGGTGCCACATTGAGCTCGAGGGTGACGCCAGCGCAGGCGTGCTGGGCTAGCGATCTGGAACTGTGAAATCACATCGAAAGGGCTGGTGATGGATGTTGCTCCACATGTAAAGTGGGAAGAGCAGGGAAGAGCGGTGTTTTGGCATAGTCTATGCTTGCAAATCCCGAATTCATTCTATGACAGTCGCATGTTTTCAAAGGCATTAGGTGATAACCAACATTTTGTGTCGGGTCAACTGAAAAGCACCAAAGCACAGGTCAAGTCCAGACAAATCTTCATTGTCCCATCTGGAGTGGATGGTCACACATTGCGGTGCTCCAATGGCCCGAACACATTCCGATAAATGCAACCTGGCAATTGAAAAATACCATATGTTAATATTCATAATATCCATTTCTAGATGATCTTCCTTGTGGTTTAGCAATGATCTGCCATGATGTTTTCCATTTACCCATGCTCCCTTGAGGGGCACAACGTCACAATGTCACCTGGCACGCAGCTCAAAAGCAGTGGCGCCACCCTCGGGAACAGCAGCGAATGGGCAGGTCATGCATGGTACAGCGGACAGCGACGACAACGGCAGCGGATCCTTTGATCCACGCCGCGACGTGCAACGCGGCGAGGGGTTCGAGAGAACGAGAAGTCTTTGGATGTTGGACCCAAATGGAGAGTGAATATTCAAATCTTTGTACGTTGGTAGATATGAAGAACATATAGGAATTGTCACCATTCCATACCAAAAAGAGCCACATGTTCATGGGAGAAGTGTTGCACTGGTCGGAGAGCTTCAATATACAACGAATACGAGATGCGCATCTCGAAGGGTCTCATTCGCTGCCATCCAGAGTCGTATTCAAATCAGAAAATCATGAAAATCCACAGAATTTACCATTTATCATCCATAAATCTATCGAAATATAAAAAGAAATCATGCACAGATCTGGGAAATTATCTGGTAATCTAGCATAGTCATGGACAACCACCATTTTTCATGGGATCGTTATCCAGAAACGGGCCAGTTTCCATCACAAAGGGTATCCGTAAATTCCGAATCAACAAAATCCAGAGAACTGACATTTATCACCATAAATATCCATAAATCTACAGTAAATGAAGCCATCCAAATCTGAGAAACTGGCCGCGGATCTCGGGTGTTGGCAAGGGCGACACCGGATCCCATGGGTTTTTCACATGGATTCCCCAACCATCATGGGGAAAATGATGATAAACCGAACCATTGGAGTTTTGGGACCATTTTCAAAGCTGGATGATTTTGGACTCCAAATGTTTTTGTGATGGATCTTAGGTGAATTGAGATGATCCTAGACATGAAAAACCAATGAGAACATGATTCTTGAGGAGAGATATATCATGATATACCCATCTTTCTACCCATCTCCAGATGAGATTTTCTCCGTTGCGGCCACCCAGTTATCCTCGGCGCTCAGAAAGCCTTATATGCGGGCGCCGGCCATCTCTGCCTTGGCTGTTCAGTTTTGCAGCTTGGGATCATCTTCCATGACTTTTTTCGGAGATGGAGAATTTCAATATTGGTATGCACAGATAAACATATATCTGTATATGTATATGTACATATATACATATGTATTATATATATATGTTTATATAATACGGGGAAAGTCAGGTTTTGATAGGCTCCCACTTTCGTTCGGGAGAATTCACCACTGAAAGATGATCCCAAAGATGTGTGTTTTTTTTTTTTCCTGAAGGGAAAGGGTGCTGCTTCCATCCCTGATTGTATCTTGCTGATTCCTTGACTCTGGCGACCAAATCATCTACTAGCTCGAGTGGCTAAAAAATGGAATTTAAAGGCCAACAGGCGACAACCAACAATCAAGATGTCATTCTCTGACTCAATTTGTGGCTACTAAGTGCAAAAACTCCAGTGGTTCTTTGCCTGCCCATCAAACGTTAATGTCATACTTCCCCATCTAGGAATAACGTGTTTAATATCCAGTTTACCGACATTTCGTGAGCCAGTTACGGACAATGTACATGAAATCAGGTAGTTCAATGTATGAACCTCCACGAGTAGGATTGTATTTGTTATGTTGGATTTAAGTTTATCGCTCACCAATCCACTCTCCGACATCTCCATCTTGTCTAACTGAAACTCTATGTCAGTTGCCATTGGATTTAACTTTTGACGGATTTCCTCTTCGTTGGTGATGTTGTATCTTCTACTTCTGATGCTCTTCCTTATCTCTTCGTTAGTTTTATTGCTCTTCATGGTGGCGGAAACCTGTAAAATGACTTTCATTCTCTTGTGTTTTTATTTTTTTAAATCTCAAATTTTGGATTTTGAGATACTGTAGTGCCTTGATGCCTCTAACTATGACGTTGGTGATGGCATATGAATTGACATAACCCTTGAAAGCACATTGTTCGGTGGTGGTGGCTTTGTATCTCATTTGAATACCTGTGAGTGTCTTGTTCTTGTCAAGATTCACCCACCTAATGCCTCTCTTCTCCTTCAGTTCATACTTTTTGTAGTCCATAGTCTGCCTAATCTTGTTGAGTTTGATGTTCAATACTTTTGGGATGGGTTTTCCTCTTTCAAAGTTGTAGGTCTTCTCTCCTATCTTGAGTTCCTGTCCATTCCGTTCCACTATCTCACCCTTTTCGGATGATAAAAGATAATCTAAATAAAAGATAATCCAAAACAATCTGGTGTGAATGAGCCATTATAGTATCATCTATATTATTATAATCTTCTGCTTCTTTGAATAGTTTTTCAGCGTGAATTGTTTGTGGAGGATTTTGAGGTTGAAGTGATTGTGAGTTGAGTTGAGTTTCAACATTTAGTCGGTTTTTCAACCTTGTATCCTCTGCCATATTCTCCTTACTATATAAGTATAAGGTAATATTTCTTTAAGTAGTTTTTTACGGGTTCAGGGTTGGGGGGGGTTCTGGATTGGGGTCGGAGTTCAACATCAAAAACTTCTCAATAAAAATGAAAGTTATTGTGAAAAAAACGGAATAAAAACTCGTTGAGCGAAAGGTGTTATAAGGTGTCTTGAAGCACCTTTCAACACTGACATCTTTTCCTCATACAAATGTTGGCTTGACGATTGGATAAATTCGATTTGGACGAAATGATGCGTCCGCAGTCTGGACACTTGAATGGTGTTGATAATTTCTTTTGATATTTAGCAAAATATTGGGGGTCTAATGATTTGGATTGGGGGGTTCTTGGACTGTTGGTGGATGGAGCGCTTCAACCATCTGGTCAAAGATGTCCTCCATTTCTTGCTTCTTTCCATCAATTACTAAATAGCAGGGCATCAATTCTTCACTACATAAGGCGACTTGTCTTTAAGTATTTTTGGGTATAATGCCATAAAATGAGGTGTCCTAAAAGGATGTGAAATGGGGTCAAAACAATTCTTACCACAGAACGACAGAATATTGTCCTGTATGGCAAACAAGTCTTTCTGTGAAGAAGCAGCACTCTTGGAAAACTGGATTACTCTTGTTTGACATGTGTACTCTTCCCTTGGTCAAATCAGCCCGGCCTTCATTTAGACAACTCTCACTTAAAGAAATGTTTTCAATACAATCCAACAATAATGTTTTCGTTTAATCAAATATCTCACTCATATCAAGGGGGTGTTGCACAAATTCAACAACAGATTCTTCAAGGACGACCATACTCTTTCAAAAGAGTGCTACATGCATACAGTATACCATATGCTCAAACAATGTTTGCTTGTCTTAAGATTTAAAGGTGCACATTCTTCAAATTACAATATTTTTCAAGAGGAGAGCTGCCTACACCAAAGGGTGTTATTCCCAAAATATGGTTCGTTGTCTTGGAAGAATATCACATTATGCATTCAAAAAATGATGTGGAATTGTGAAGGACATATCTTACGTGCTTACATGTACCATGTGTTCTTCATTTAAGAAAATATATTGTGAAAATGGCATTGCATGTGCAATAGGGTTCA